GGAATCATGATCCAGGACAAAATTATTAAATTTTTTATTAAAATTAAAGATAGGCCATGCCAAGAAATGTCAAGGATGGAGAGGAATTGGACTTTTCATGTACTACTGGGGGTGTGGCATGTAATGTGATACAACCACTCTCCAAAAGTTTGACATTTCTTAAAAAGTTAAACACAGACTCATCATATAGCCTAGAAATTCCAGTCATTAATATATATACAAGAGAACCAAAATACATTTGTTCACACAAAAGCTTGTACATAAATGTTCAAAGTACTATTATTCATAAAATCCAACCAAGAATAACCCAAATGTCCACCATTAGTGAATGGATAAACAAAATGTGGAATGCTTATCCAGTGGAATATTATTCAGTCATAATAAAAAATGAAATACTGGGCCAGGGATTTAGCTCAGTGGTTCTGGTGCCTGGCTCGCAAGCGCAAGGTTCCAAGTTTGATTCCCAGTATCAAAAAAAAAAAAAGAAATACTGATAACATAATGCTAAGGAAAGATGACAGACACAAACGACCACATATTGAATGAGCTCATTTATATGAAATGTCCAGGGCAGGCATATTAGAGACCCACGTTAGTGGTTGGAATGGGAAAAAAAAGGGAAATATTAGTAGTGACTGGTTAATGAATGTGACAATACTTTTGGGGGTAATGAAATATTCTGGAATTTGTGATGGCAGTTATATAATATTATTAACACACTCAAAGGTACCAGATGTTAATAACAGTAAAAGTAGTAAAGTTTATGTTATATCAATTTAACCTTTAAAGTTAAACCCACCACCTGTTCCAGTCATTCCATTTCTTGTATTTACCAATGAAATGAAAACATATTGTTCAGGGTAGCTGTACCTATAACAGGCTAAAAATGGAAACGTTCCAAATATCTATTAACAAGTAATTACGTAGTTTATAGCATATCCATGTAATGTAATTACTTGACAATATAAGGAATGAGCTATTAATAAATGTAATAGCATGGATGAATCTCAAAATAATTATGCTGCATTACTTAAACCAGACAAAAGAAAGAACATATAATGTATGATTAACTCCATTTATATACAATTGTAGAAAACACAAACTGATTTATAGTGATAGAAAACAGATTAACACCTAATAACTGGAGTGGGAAAGAAGAAGGAATAGATTAAGAAAAGTACCAGTAAATTTTGCAGGAGATGGTTATGTTCATATCTGAATTTTAATGTCTGTTTTATAGATGTGTACATATGTTAAAATGTACCAAATTAGACATTTTCAGTATGTAAAATTTACTGTATATCAATTACACCTCAATAAAGGTAATTATAATATTCAAATATACAAAACAGATATTCACAAGAGGACTGTTTTTTGTTGACATCAGCTTCCTTAGTAATAGCCAAAAACTAGAAACAGTCTAGGCATCTATCCATGAGGAAATGTAAAAAACAAACTGTAGTATATTCATACTCAGACATTTAAAAAACCACTACTGATACATGCAACAACATGGAGGAATCACAAGGACGGTAAGCTTCATGAAAAAGTCATCCAGAAAAAAGTTCATTTTATGTGACTCCATTTACATGAAATTCTAGGACAGAAAAAATTAAACTGTGGTAGAAAAACTTAAAAGCACTGATTTGCTTCAGGATAAAAGATGAGAAGTATAGATGGGAAGGGATATGAAGAAACTTTCTAGAGTGACAATAATACTCTTCTATCTGATAGGGCTTTAGATTACACATTTGTATGCATCTCTCAAACCTTATTAAATGCATGTGTGCACTGTGTATTTATATATGCACATATAAATATCAATATGCATATAAACATATTAATATGCACATATATTGTTAGTGTGTACATATTAATTATACATATTTTTAGGGTGCATTTGAGATGATATTTTTCTTATGTCATGATAAAACTGGTGGGAAACGGATTTAGAGTCTAGTCCAGTGATGGCAAACCTATGATACACGTGCTACAGCCAGCTGCTTGTTATCATTGAAAACTCTAAAAGATTTGTCATCACTGGTCTAGTCCCTGCTCAGTCAAAATTTCACTGCATAACTCTAGAAAAATTACTTGTCTCTGGGCCTCAGTTTCCTCACTGGTAAAAATAGCCAAATCCAGACACTCTTTGAGTTCTACTAATAAACCTGCAAAGTTTACTGGTACCTTTCTTAATCCATTCCTTCCTCTTTCCCTGTCTTTCCCATTCCAGTCACCAATCACCAAAACCAAACTTTTATAATTTCATGACTACAATGTTAATCTTACAGCCCGAGAACTAAGAATAACAGAGCCTTTTAAATTTGAAACACATTAACTATATTATGTACTATAAAGTGCACTTAAACCATGGACATTTTACTCACATTAAGTAAAATATTTGTCATATGTCATAGTCACCCGAGTAACTTACTCACAATTTAACATCTTCTAGAACATTTTTTGATTGTGCTGATCCAAGGAAACAAGCTGGAATGTTGGACATTCTATAACAAGAAAAACAAATATTCCAAAGCAATGTATGCATTACAAACATTAATATCATTTTTAAGTGAGAACAAATTTTAAAAAGTTCTAACATGTATTCCTCTTCTCTGCAATCTTCTTTTCTCTCCTTTCATATCTCACTAACTTGATAAAGTCCTTCAAGGTCCAGGCAAATTTTTAAAGTTGAGTCTTTCATTGATAAGTCAGATTGAAGAAGATTAAAAAGTTTTTCAGAGATTAAAAAAAACACTTCTTTGTATATATTTCATACCAAATGAGAGTACAGATAACATAACAAGAAAAGAATTATGAGATAATAAATGTAAACTGGAAAAATAATATTTGTAGAAAATTTTATCAAGACCCCCTGATAACCTTGATTTATAGAGAAACCTAGGGAAAAAATAAGGGCTGGAGATGTAGTTCAGTGGTAGAGCACTTGCCAAGCATGTACAAGGCCCTGTGTTTAGTAATCAGCACCAGAAAAAAAAAAAAATGAAGAACGTAAAGTCTTCCACTAAAGTGTTATTTAATACTAATAAAGCACCACTTGTAGAAATGTGTAATTTTGAACTAAATTTTAACACACGATATATCAGATGTTTCATTTATAGACTAAAGAAAGAGCACAATGATTTGGCAATGAAAGCATTACGTACTCAAGCTGGAGCACTTGGTCTTCCATCAAGGAAATAAGAGGTGAGATGACAAGGCCAATCTTGCCTACATACACAGGTGGGTACTGGAAGCATAAACTCTTTCCATATCCTTAAGGTGAAAATAAAACACACTCACAGAAATAAAAAATAAACAACTTCTTCTTACCATGTACTTGTATGGCTGAATGATCAATAAGAAGTAACATGCCTAAAATGATCAGTAGTGACATTTCCTAAAAGCTACTCCATGCATAAATTTAAGCATCTATTCCCTGCTCACTCTCTTCTATATTTTAAACACTTGTGTTGTATTTTGAGAGTTTAATGAAAGGGTAAGCACTTTAAACTCTTTATGTTTTATTTTTTAAAGGATTAAGTTTTTCACTTAAGTATTACTTACCAGTTGCCATGACAACAACATTATCTCTTCTTTCTTCCAAAACAGAATGAATAACTTTCCACTGAACCCTTCAAGGTAAAAAGCAAAAATCTATTTGTTTTATTAATAAGAAACCCAAATAATAAGTTAAAACTCATTAAATTTTTTACTTCCACTAACAGAATTTCATTTATAATTCTGAGTTTCATATATAAATGTATACACACTCTAGAACTTCACAAGGAACCCCATTAATCAATCTCCCATTCAGGCTGGCTGACAAACTAGGAGTTTACATTTCATTGTAAGTATTACATTTTATTACATATACTTAAAAGTATAAAATAAGTTTTAAGCTTCACGTTAGATACCAAAAGAATCAATTATTTAAATTAAATAAGAGACATTATTTGAGTTTAAAATGAGAGAACTTTTGGGGTAATGGTAATATTCTATATCTTGATAAGGACTTAATGGATGTGCGCATGTACAATTGAGATGTGCTAACTTTCATTTAAGGTTTGTACATTTTTTGCATGCAAATTTTACCAAAAAAAATTACAAATAAATATTTAACTCTTGTTAATAATTGATATGCTGAGATACTTAGGGGGAAATGTAATGATGTCCAAAGTTGACTCTGAGATGCATCTTAATATTCTGACGGAGTAAGATCAAGAGATGGATAGATGGGTATGTGGTAAAACAAGTACAGTAAAATGTAAATAATAGAATCTATGTGCTGGATATACAGGCATACACGTGGGAGGAGAAGGAAAGGGCATAAATAAATTAAGATACGTTATGTACATGTACCAACTCCACGTGATGAATATAATCATTATGTATTGCAAACATGTACTCATAAAAATTTTTAAATCCTTTGAACTTTACCTTAGGAAATTTTCTTAAAATCTCAAGAGAAAACTTAGAGAGGTGGTCTCTGCTATGCTGCTGATGATCTTATCTAAGAGCTGGTTACACAAGGTGCTTAGATTATCAAAATTTATTGACCTGAACACCTACGTGCATTTTCCTGTATCAAAGATATGCTTAAATTTAAAAATTTTTAAGACTGAAAGACAAAAGGAAAGAAATGTTTCAATGGAGTTTATTTCAAATTTTTAAAACTGGAAAAATCCACTCTTAATTTTTATATTCGTATTACTTTTATGCAAATTTACTTGTTCCTCATCTCACTTTTATTCATTTATACTTAAATATGTCCCTTAGACGTAAACACAGTTTGAGTATGTTAAATAAAATTATCATTGTTCTTAAAACTACTGTCTTACAAGCTTCTATTAGCTTTGGGAAATACGATACACAAAACAGACACACAGATACTTAATGAAAAATAAATCAACATTAAATGGAAATTCACTAATATCTTTAGTTTCTACACAGAAGCACTAAGTTTCCTTGCTTATAAACACAACTTGCAGAAATAAGTTTTATATATAATATTATTTCAAAATAATTTTGTAGTCATAGGAATTACAGTGTGGAAAATATGACTATAGTGATATTGCATGGCTACTATTGAATGGATTATTTATCTTTTTTCTCCCTGTAAAAAAAGTACTAAAATATGCAAATTAATTAACTGAAATTATACTCACGGTTTAAAACTATGATGGCCAAAATAGGTCTTGAGGCAAATAACTTGCTTTGCATTGGGTTCTGGCAAAAAATGGTCTTAAAATAAAATAAAATGGGCATTTATGTTCAAATAGAAATACATTAGATAATAGAAAGGAAAAAATTTTTATTTCATTGGGTTTTTTAAAAGAATATAATGATAAGTACCAGAAGTTACTGTTTTCTTTTAATTCCAACGCAATTTGGTGCTCTGCATATCAGTCATGACCCTAAGATTACTATTAAATTCTAAAATTTTGTTGTGGTTCCCATTTTACCAGCACCATAAAAAACTGCTATTTTAGAATCAGTTATACTTTTTAGCTTTTATATCTAGAGTAAACATAGTAATATTCCAATCCAAATTTTATAACCAACTTTCAATTAATGATAATCAGATATTACATTAATGTCACAAAATCTACAAATAAAATCTTCACTTTAGTTACCTAAACCTAGTTAACTAAACTTAGTTAGCTAAATCAAGTTTAAAGAACTAAATCTAATTTAGTTAGGTAGATGTATCTACCTACATTTTTCATTTGTTTTTCAGAGTTTTTTTGGTACCAGGGATTGAACTTGGGTCCTTGCACTTAAGAGGCAGGTGGCGGAAAGGCTGAGCTAAATGCCCGGCCCATCTACCTACATTTTGACTAAAATTCTAACTGCAGAGTACAGCAGGGCTATTATGTTAGCTCTACCCAAGTGACTTTCACTGTCCATCTTTAGGTTGCAAAGTTCGAGTGGCAAAGGAAAGGCAAAAAAAGGAATCAGTTCATCACTAAACAATTTAAAGCTAATTACTACACTTCACAGCTTTAATACTACTAAATAGAAAACCAATTTTCGACAAATTGTGCCTGTATTTAATACAAGAAAAGAAATAGGATAACATTTTATCAAAATATTCACATATACTTTTATAAAATGTTTTTGTTTCCACATTGTGTCAATGATGAAGTCTTAGTCTGAGTTCTACTTTATAAAAATATTCCGATTTGCCATGACTCTTTTCACTTAATGAAAAATTTAATGCATCTTTTATTATATTGATGAAATCTGAAAACTAGTCCATGTTGCTCTTTTAAACTGCATTGTTTAAATAATAAGCTCCTAAAGAGTAGATGCTATGTATCCATGTCCTTTGCAATGATCTTTAATATTTTGTAAATGATTTCATGAATACAATTAAGATCCAAACAAAATTTACAATTGAGATTGAAAAGTTTTACATCATCAGATTCACTGAATGACACAAAACTTCATTACTTAATTTTAGAAACAGTAAGATTATGCTTCGTAGAGATGACAGCACTAAGGAATTTAACAGCAAGTTTCTGGGACTTAATAATTTATTAAATGCTTCCAAGCCCCTGGCCTCCAAATCACTTTAAATCCAGACCCTGAACTGAAGGCAGTAGCTGATATCGCAGATGAGTCACAGAGAACATACTTCAGTGCTTACCCTCCTCACTCACCTTCTTCCTCTTCAAAGGCTTCATTTTTATCTTCATCTTCTTCAGTAGGAAGACTCAAATTTCCTCTTATTTCTGAGCACTCAGAATGAATTGTTTCTATAGCATCACTATTTAGGTTTTCTAAAGACTGAAAGTTTAAAAGAAATTTTAAAAGCAAAACCACTGACAGTATCATATCTTTTTCACCAAACACAAAGGAGTATTATTAACACGGCCTACAATTTTATTCAAAGCTGGCAGCTGTACAAGCAATACCACAAAAGAACATGTGTGTTCCTCTATAAATATGTTCTCAAGAATGGTTTCCAAGGCACAAGGCCAAAGATGGAATATTTCCAGCATAAACAAGGTTCATTAATAGCATATAATGAAATGCCCCTGGGGAAATCTATCATAAATTTTGAATTCGGGTAATTTAAAAGTTTTTCTTTATTGTACTTCAGTATTTTCCTTCCCAAGTGATAAATGTGGGTTTAAATTTTTTTTGGTAATGAGTTTCTTTATGTGACACATCAGTCACATTCTTGAGTAAGGATAAGGCTTAAACTATAAGCAAATAATAAAAGTGGTTTTGGATTTATCAAAAAAAAAACAAGATTTTAAAAATTTCAGGAAAGGAGTATTACTTATGCAAAATAAAGTTATTCATTTTTAATTTGGCTTTATCATACCTGGTTTTCTCTCTGAAAAAACAAGTATCTCAAGAATGTAAGGACATTTCTTAATTTTTTTACTAAAAAGTGATAAGGAAGACTTTATTAAACCATAGTTGTCATTTTCTCTTTTCATTAAACCTTCCATTTATTATTTTACTTTAAATGTTTTTTTTAAAAAGTGTACTCATTTTAGACCTAGAAGGGAACAAAAAGTGATTCTGTTTCTGATTTTTTTATTCAAGTCTACAAACATATTCAGAAAGCACCATAAAATAAAGTTCTCTAACTCCAGCATCCAAGTTGCCTTCTAAGAGATTCATTATATATTTTATGTTTGTAGAAGTCCACAAGAATTCCATGATTACACTACTTGAATATTACTCCTCAGAGAAATGGTTAATCAATAAAGGAATTATGATTTAGCTTATACTTATTAAACAGTTAACAATGCTGGGCTCTATACTAAGTTCTCAACAATACTTTAAATAACAACTGTTCACTGAGCTTCAAAAGGGTAAGAAAAGTCACATGGGACTTTTCTTAAAATAAAGGGAAAGGAGGGACTGAAATCCACATCTAAATTCAGAACCTACATTCCTAATTGTCATTGTCATTACCATTACTAGCCCTCAAAACTAAAGAATCAGGAAATTACTCTCATTTCATAAAAAGAAAAATCACATCAGTCTAAAGATGAAGAATAAAAAGTATGCACAGTGGCACAGTTGTGTTTTTCTCCATTTTTCACTTATTTTGGCTAAACTGGCTTTTCTTTCCTTTCTTTTTTTTTTTTTTTTTTTTCATTTTTTAGCACTGGGGATTGAATCCAGAATGTTACTTATACCAAGCACAAACTACCACACAGCTATGTCCCCAACTTGGCTTTTAGTGTCCATTTTTGGACATAATACTTGATAAACTGTAGGCTGAATAAAGAGGTAAAAAGTATATCAATTACATTTTCAATATTGATAAAACAGTAAAATTGGACCATTTAAATTGTTAGAAAATTATACAAAATAAATATTTTAAAAAATCAAAGAATGTAAAGATAACTGAATATATAAAAAAGTCAAAATAAAATAAATGGCGATATATATGGATAAGAAGAGAAAACAATGTCAATAACGAAAAGCTTAATTATTACCTCTATTCCAGAAAATGATTAAGAGAAAGTGATGTAAAAAAGGAACATAGAACATGTATGCAAAATCAGTATACCACTTATAAAACATTATTTATACAACATATAAAGACAAAGAAATATGAATTGGAAAATACGGAATATGAAGGTACATAATTGGAAGTAATGTTATTGTGATGGGACTTAGTTTACAATTAAGTAATATTTTAATTAAGTGTCCTTTGGAAAGAACATGAAGTAATTTAATAATTTTAAACATACCTTAAGCATCTCCATTTCTAAATCTTCATCACTTTCAATTATATAAGATGAATCTTTTTCGTTATCACTGGGAGATAAACGCTTTTAAAAAAAAGTATTTCAAAATTAATTTCCAGTATAATTGATTACTCTCTTTTCTACAAAATAATGTTATTTACACCACCTATCTTTAGCCATCTTTCCTTCTAATAGATAAATGTACAAATCACATTTATATGTTTATATGATAGGCAGATAGAAGAAAAGGAGGAGGAAGAAGAAATGACAAGAAAAACTAAGAACCAAAGGGAAAGAAAGAAATATAATTAAAAAGTTACACAACTTAGATTAACAGACTTGAAATAAAATCACTATTGTAGAGTAAAAAATGAAAAGTTCAACTATGGATGAACAATGTCAGATGTTGAAAAAAATCTGTGCAAAGCAAAGAACAGAGCCAGGAGTGGTGACACACACCTGTAATCCCAGCACTCTGGGAGGCTGAGGCAAGAAGATTTCAAGTTTGAGCCCACTCTGGGCAGCTTAGCAAAAACCGATCTCAAAATAAAAAATAAAAAGGGCTGGGGATGTAGCTCAATGCCAAGACCCTAGATTCTACCCCAACTACTCCGTCCCACCAAAAAGTCAAGAATGGTAATTATTCTTTTAGAGCAACTGATTAAAAAAAATAATAAAGTTAGTATATTATGATTGTACATCTTTAAATAAATCAGTATTTTATAAATAGCATCTACACAAATTTGAAAAAGTGTTAGATATGCTATTTACTTATTCTGCTGCATAAGTTTGGATATGAGGACCTTAATAATTTAGCAAGCCTCAGGAACTGAGTGCCCAATAGCATAAAAGTCCACACAAAGAAACTCACAAAAAAATTGAGAAAAGATGCCCCACAAAATGCCTACCATTTAAATTGAAGTAAAAAAAGTATACCTTAATCTGCAAATTTTAAATTTAAAAAATTTTTAAATAGTTTTTATAAAGAAAGGTAAGTTCTTTTACTTTTTAGATAAGGTCTTTAATGAATGAAGGAAAAATTCTAATAATTATTTTAAAAAGGCAATAATTGGTCTAAAAGATAAGTCGTGAAATCATGACAATTCGATACTATGTGAAATATGTAATTCTGAAAGTATATATCTAAAAAGAAATTTTTGGAAAATTAAAGGGTAACACAGATGTTAGCAAAAGGCAGTACTTACTGAAGGGGGAACCTACTTTGCAAATGGTTTTAGAATATCTTGTAAACAATTTTAAAACAAAATGCATTCACAGACTAATGGAAAGGCTTACTAACATAGTTACCAAAACAGAGAATTTCTCCATTAGAAATTTTCTGTTAGGGACTGGGGATTTAGCTCAGTGGTGCCACCGCTTGCCTTGCAAGCGCATGGTCCCAAGTTCAATTCCCAGTAACAAAAAAAAAAGAAAATTTCTGTTAGGAAAATGAGAAAATAATTCTATTAAAATGGCTTTCAAAATCTCAACACTTAGTAATTGCAAAAAATTGTAAAATTCTATAGAATATGAGCATCTTAATTAATTTCTAGTAATGAAAAAACAAATGAGAAATTCAGAAATTAAGAAAAAAATAGATTACTGACTCTCTAGATGACTGTAAGAACTAGTGTTAAGCAAAAACAGATATTTATTAAAACCCTCTCACCCTAACAAGGATTCTATACGAAAAAATAAAAGCTACCTCTAAGAATCAGTTCAAGAGTAAATAGTCACTTATATGTGAAGAATCCAAAAAAGCACAGATATGTAGTACATAAAAAGCATAAGAAATAATAAACAGCAAATTACAATAAATGTCTATTAACACAATAAAATTTTACAATGTTATTATATTAAGTCAAGAGTGGCCAAATATGGCTCATAAGCCAAATATGGCCCACTGAGTCTTTGTAGAGAAGACTTTATTAAAACACAGAAGGTACATTTTAGACAAACTGCTGCTTTCACACTACAAAGACAGAATGGACTGGGTGCAGCAGAAACTATCTGTCCTATAGAGCTTAAGTTATTTACCATGTGCCTCTTTACAGAAGTTAGTCAGCCCCTACTAATGAATGTAAAAAGTATGTCTCCTTTTTGTTTAGTACCTCAGCAGTTTGAAAAGAAACATCACTAAGATTTTTTTCTTGAGCCTGCTGTTCCAAAATTTGGAGTTCATATTCTGTATTATCTAATGACATCAAACAAGTTCTTTCCATATTTTCTTTCAATTTATTGTCTTTTATTCCATCTTCAGAACCATCACCTTCTTGTTTCATTTTATTTCCAAGTACACCTTCTCCATCATGTTTAATGAACTTATCAAGTGTTGTCTCCCATGTCTCATCTTTAACTCTGGTAAAAATTTTATGTTCTCTAGTTTGTTTCTGTTGTTGTCCACCGGCAGTTGAATCCTCCAAAGATGATAACTTAAAATTACTTCTGGGCCTCAGTTCAGGCTCAGTGTTAGTAGAGGCAAACATCATCTTCCTCAGTGAATATAGATTTTCTGAAATATTCTTCAATATTATAGAAACCCTATAAAATTTTTAAGAAGATTAAACTTTAATTATATTAACAATCAGGACAAGTTTGAAAGCTTTTTAATTAACAAAAGGTTTCTAAAACTTCACTTAGAAGACTCTTTGGATTAAGTTTGCCCTTCATTTCTAATGCCCCATGAGAAGAGCTGATAGGTTACTCTCTAGCACAGGTAGGTCCTTCTGTATCCAACCACTGATTTGCATGCTCACAAAGAGTCCTACTTGGTCCCAAACTGTTCATGCCAACTACATTATTTTTTAATTAATTTAATTAAATGTAAAGTAAATCAATGATTCATAACAAAAAATATCATTAAATTCTGCACTGAACACGTGGAAAGACTAAGCATATTTCCTCTTTTAAAGTTATTTGATAAACTATAGCCAAAATATGTATAAAAATATGGAGGAAAAATCATAAAAATTCTTAGAACTCTGTATTCAGATTGCTTCAATGTCAAAATTTTTCACTCCATTTTAAAGAAACTGAAATTAGAAATTGTAAAAAACATGAGTCTAGTCTAAACAAGAAACATTCTGTAGAACTCTAAACAGCAGCCTATATTTAATAAAAAAACCACTGATGTAGACCAAAATGTTGGGAACAAACATAGATTAATATGTTAAGCTTTTTAAAAAGTTTACAATCTAATATTTTACCTAACTTTTTTATTACTGACCAATTATTAGTCTCAAATGCAACAATTTTTACACTGTAATTTTTTTTTTTTGAGGCAGGGTCTCGCTTTGTAGTTCAGGCTGGCCATGAGCTCACTATGTAGCTCAGGCTGGCCTCAAACTCATGATGATCCTCCTGCCTCAGCCTCCTTAGTGCTAGGATTACAGGTGTGCACCGCCATGCCAGCTTTACACTGTAATTTGAAAATGATAGTTTTACATCTTTAAAAATCTCAACACTGAACACAAATACTTTTTTTTTTTTTTTGGTACTGGGGATTGAACTCGGCTCCTTGCGCTTGCGAGGCAGGTGGCAGAACCACTGAGCTAAATTCCTGGCCCTTGAACATATATTCTTTAAAATATGAAAAAAAACCTTTCCATCAGTAGGCAACCGAAACAAATGAAGAGATATATAAACACTCATATAAAATAGCATATGAATTACATTTGACTCAACTAGAGTTGTTAATATGTAATATTTTAACTAAATGACATTAAATGGCTATACAAGTGTAGTCAGTCACTAACCCTGATTAATCAGAATGGAAAACCACTGCTAAAATGTAAAATGAGGCTCACTATCTTATCTACTAGTTACAGGTCTATTAAAGAAATTTTTTAGATACTTCATAAAAGCTGGAATTAGAGACAGTAAAGGGAGTGTGATGACCAGCAAGACATGTTTTACCATGTAATAAGTGCTTTGTAGGTTTTCTAATTTTTCATTATTTAAAAATCAATGCTTAATAAAATCTGTGATACCTTTTAAAATTTCATATTAATGATTCAAATAAAAATTAGCTCTGACATGCTAATAAACTATCAATGGGTTAGGTCATTTCAGGTTTTTTCCAACTGAAAACTGCACCATTAACAGCACAGTACTCCAAAGCTGAGCTCAAGTTAGCAAATCCACATGAACACACAAAAAAAATGAAGAGTAAATTAAATTCAAAAACTAAAATCATAGTAATTTTAGTGTTTTAAAATTTTGTAAATCATAAAGAATATTTAGCATTATACACAGCCATTCAAATATAAGATATATATAGAGAGAGAGAGTAGTTGTAGGAACAGTTTATTGCCTGTATAGAGAATGCTGTAACACATAAACACAACAACAGTGGCACAGATGTACGAACAAAACTGTTAAGAGTTCATTTATCCTCCACTAACATCAGAGAATGCCATGTTTCATGTAAGATAGCTAATATTTACTCTTAACAAATATTAAAAGCTTTGTTGCTTTCTGTTTCCTTAAATTCTTTTATTGGTACATTGTAGGTATACAACACAATTACATTTCTCATTGGGAATTGTACCTTTGCATAATGCATCTTGGTTCTTCTTTGTTCCCCATTCCTAGCCCTCCCTTCACCCCCTCCACCCTT